CACACACACACACACACACACACACACACGCACGCACGCACACACACACATTTACTCCTCAGAATAGCCCTGAGTTGCATAGTATTATTGTTGCCGTTTGGCGAAGAGGAAACTGAAGCACAAATAGATTAAATAACTTGCTCAAGGACGCAAGGCTAGGAAGCAGTAGTGTCAGGGATCCTGACCCAAGAAGGCCGGCGCCAGTCTGCTCCTAACAACCACGTTACCCCTCCTCCCAACTGGTTTACCACTCTTCCTTCTCTATGAATATTCAGTTCAACACTTCTTTGGATTGTTGGTTTTCCCATGAGATTCACATTTAACTGACTCAGGCAAACCAACCACACTGAAAAAGGCTAAAAGCATTACTCATTTTTACTATGCTAATAGCTGGAGAACTGCCTCCCACCTTGCCCCTCTCCAATTCGTTCTCTGCATTACAGGTGGATGTTTTTCTCAAGTACAAATGCAATCCAGTCAGTCCCTTTAAAATCTATCATTTGCTCCTTCTATCCACAAGATAAAATCCAAACTTCTTAACATGATGTATTGAACTATGTGATCTGGTCAGTGTCAGATTAACCCTCGAGTCTAATTTCTTACCACTGTCCCTTCCAAGACTCCCTCAACTCTCACATCTTGTTATTCCTTCTGCAGGAACTTCACTCCCCTGGTCTGTATACTTAAGAGGTTATAAGTTCCTTGAAGGACATAATATTCCTTATTCACCTTTGAAGCCTCCATCCCTAGCACTTTACAGATACATTATAGGGCTTAAAAAATAATTCATAAATGAATGATTGAGCTACTAGATGTAGAGTTGTTTCACTAAACTAAAATGATAAACACGCACTAGAAAGCACAGCAATGCATTTGTGAAACACAAAACAACCTTTTATCATTCAACACTGAGATTTCTACACTAGGAACAAACACCTAAAAATTGTCACAGAGTATTCAGAACCATTTTTTATGTTACCAACATTTTGCCTTGAAGCAGTAGCTAAATTCATTCTGTGAAAGAAACTGTTTACTTCTTCAGATATTCAAAATATAAGATTTTACTGACAGTCACATAAAGAAAAGTATTCAAGAGGACAGGAACAGTCTAAGCTTCAAAGTAATTCCAGATACCTCTCCTAAGAATTCACTTTCTTCCTCTCGAACTCGAGCTTGATCCCAGAGCGTGATCTCTAGCATCCGTTCCCTAAATTCTCTTCGATGGACTGGGGAATAAATGAATGTTTGGTTCCATTTGGGTTCCAATGTTTTCTTTACTGTTTTAGTTCTTCTCTTGTTTTTATCACTGTAAAAAAAAAAAAAAAAGGAATATATGAACTTATATAAACCTTTAAGTTTTGCCCCCAAAACTATTCATTTAAAATTTCTCAGGAAAGAAGTGAAGTTTTCCATAAATTTATCATACATTATGAATATTGTAATTGTTTAAATTGCTACTAAAATGTGTAAGTATATAATCATATCACTTTATAAAAGCAATATTTCAATAAATCTGAAATCCTTCCACGACAGATAATTAAAAACTTAATCTTTCTCAAAATCTAAATAAAACCAGACTAAAGAATATTAACTCCACATTTTTTTACACATATTGCCCTATTGGAAACCTTTAAAGCAGCAATAAACCAATGACATTACACATACTATTCACTTGAACGACAGAAGTCTAATTGTGATGTTCACAACTTTGTATAGTTTAGCTGAGCAACTACAATTACATTTTATCAAGTTATTTTCTTACGTAAAGAAAATACGTACTTGCTCATTAAACAGCTATCAGGCCTTTAAAAGCATCGTAAAATTATTTCTGTGCGAGTTAGCCACCACAGTGTGAGCTGGAAATGCAAGCTGGTCATCCCTGATAGATGGAACTTCCAGCTCAGAGGTTTCCATACTTTTTTGGCTGCGTATCTCTATCAAGCGAATGTTTTTGACAATGCATCCTATTATATGTACATACATTTATGAATTACATGCATGTATTCCTATACTGTTGTATTAATAATATTGTGTTCATTCACGAACACACAAAAATAGAAATTAAAAATAATTAGGTAAAAAATTAGAAAATTCAAATATTTCTTCCGGAACTCCAATGGATTGTTTTACTCATCCCGTGGGGTGTATCCATTCCTTTCTGAGATCCCTACTGTAGCTTATTAGAAAGGATCATCTAGGAAGAAAACATTAAGCCATCTAGAGAGCTTATTTGAAGTGAGAAGTGTACAATAAACTCCAAGCAGAACCATAGTAGCTGCCACAAATTCTCTCAGCACAACATAGTTCTAAGAGTACTGAGAAATAGGAAGCAGGGGAACATAAGCAGGGACAGTAAGTCTCTGAATTGGGGAGGCTGTGCTGCTTCTCCTTGGTGAACATAGAGCTTAACATATGACATAGGTTGGATTTAACTAATCAAGAGCACATATGTTGCCAGAGCTCATGTATTTAATGTGGCAGAAAGCCACTTTAAAGCATTGTATCTTTATTCATCTCTAAGGCCTTGTTAGGAAAATAACTTTGGAAACTCATGTAGGGAATTTTAACTCCATTCTATCGTATGGAAAAGCGGTATTGCAAATAAAAATAATTAAATAATAGAAATAATAACAAGGACCATGATTTATTACTCCTTCTGTCATCTCCTCTCTTCATTCAAAATTTTAACAAATATTTATAAAGCATCTACTTATATTCCATGCATTGAAGATTGAATTATGAGACCCTGTGAAGAGATAAAGTTCAGGCCAGGAATTAAAAGATCAAGGCCAGGAAGAAAACATTCAGTGGGAGCCTTGCTGTATAATTCAAAAATGGTTTGTAAGGCAGTGTGAAAGGCAATAGAAAAATAAACCTTGACTTCCTCCTAAGAAGTGTAAAAAGTTCTCAGATAAAGAGGACTATTTTAGAAGGGATTCCTACACTGGACAGCATGGAGACTAGACAACCATTGAAGTTCCTCACACACCCACCATATACAATTAACACTTAATAAGGCAATTTAGTGTGTATCAAAGTATCAATCCTTGCAAAGAACCATAAAAAAAATTATCTTCAGCAAGTTAAAAAGTAAATTAGGGTTTGTGTTCGTTTGTTTGTTTGTTTGTATAACTAAAGCCTTCAAAATAAGATCAGGTTAAAGAAAAATGTTGGGGGTTTCCTGGCTGGCTCAGTTGGTAGAGCATGTGACTCTTGATCTTGAGGTTATCAGTTCGAGCCCCATGTTGGATGTAGAGATAACTTAAAAATACAATTCTTTAAAGCAAACAAACAAAATAAGTTCAGGTTGTATAAGTCAAACACTGAAAAGCTGCTAAGAGTGTTTAAAAACTAAGATCAATACACACGCTATAAAGATTTTATTTTTTAATTTATTTCTTTAAGATTTTTTAAAATGTTTCTATTTATTTTTGAGAGAGAAAGAGAGAGACAGAGCATGAGTCAGGGAGGGCCAGAGAGACAGGGGGGCTCACTGCTGTCTCTCACTGTGCTGACAGCAGTGAGCCCACGCAGGGCCAGAAAGAGGGAGAGAGAGTCACAAGCAGGCTCTGCATTGTCAGCACAGAGCCTGACATAAGGCTCAAACTCATGAACTGTGAGATCATGGCCTGAGCTGAAATCAAGAGTTGGATGCTTCACTGACTGAGCCATCCAGGTGTTCCCAAGATTTATTTCCAAATAGCAGCCCAATAACAATAAAATAAATCACTGACCTCTACCAGTATCATTAAATTGTTGAGAATGCAAACTATTTTTTTTTTTTAAATAAAATCCAACCTAAAGCCTTTCCTATTTATTTTCATGTTACCAGCACTTTGGGTTTCCATTTACTTTATACCACGAACAGCATGCAAAGACTTGATGTGTTTACTCAAAACGAAAAAAATATATTTTGACTGAAAACCAATGTTACTTCAAGATGTAAAAGAGTGTAAAGCACACTCGGGTATTTTTTAGAGTAGGTCATAACTTAGAAAATAACGTTTTGAATAAATCACTGACATAGTGGCATTCCAGACGACATCTCTTCTGTGCAGCCTCACTTGCCCCTCCAGGAATTTGTATCAACAAAAAGGCATCAATTATTTTCTATGTTCACTTATTCAAATAGCCTTTCTCCTCGAAAAATTGCCAAGAAAAATGAAATAATTCATACCAAAAGCATAAATAGTCAGTTATTCATGTGTAAAAACTTGTATCAGCAGCAAAAAAAAAAAAAGGAAAAAGATGATAATATAGCTGTTTGAGTTAACCAAAGAATTCTCTTCTCTTTAAAGATAAAACCCTGATACAACTCTCTCAATCAATAAAGTAAGCAACAAACTTACTAAACTCTTCTTCAAATTTCTGATAATTGAAAAGGAAACAGCTGAGAAACAATTTGAGGATGAAATATTTACCTATTTCCCCCATTCTCTGATGCCGAGAAAAAATAAAAACACTACATCTAAAATATAAATGATTGGTGAAGCAGACTTTCCTTTCCTTAGATCTATCTGCTCAGAAAGTAGGGAGGAGAGTATGTAAAATAAAATAAACAAAACAAAAATGGTCAATCAAGAAATAAATTCCGGGGCGCCTGGGTAGGCTCAGTCAGTTGAGCATCCGACTTCGGCTTAGGTCATGATCTCACAGTTCGTGGGTTCGAGCCCCGCATCAGGCTCTGTGCTGGAGCCTGCTTCAGATTCTGTGTCTCCTTCTCTCTCTGCCCCTCCCCTGCTCATGCTTTCTCTCACTCTGTTTCTCAAAAATAAATAAATGTAAATTTTTTTTTCAATTAACAAAAAAGAAATAAATTCCATAATTTGAAAGTCTTTTATCATCTTCCAAAGTAAGTGTTTTTTTCAAAGGTTTGAGTAAGCAGAAACTTAGGTTATGTATATGCATAAAAACATAGATGGGAATACGAGCAATTCTTGTGGGTTTTTATCAGGGCATTCTAAGAATGTTTAGACTAGTAAATCATGCTGCTCTAAGAAGCCAAGTGATTTGGCCTCCAGGATGGCAGGGTAATAGGGCTGTGACATATCGAGTCAACCAACTGAAGTTTAAACTGGATTTAAAAGCTCCAGTTGTGAATATCTTCTTCTTCCCTTGCAGTTCATGGTATATCGCTCTCCGAACGGCAACCTAAGTTGTGAGAAAACAACTTTCTTCATGAAAATTTGGTAAGATCAAATTATATGGCAGTTTTAATAACCTTAGACACAATGGCACCTTGACGGACTTTCTGATGAATCTTCTTCACAAATTTCACTTCAAAATATGTATCAAACAAAATGCAAGGCCTATGTTAATTGTCTACTTCCATATTTTTATCCTTTTCTTGGTTGAGGTTGTTCTTCAGATGATACTTTGGCATTCAAGTCTGGTGACTTTCAGCTTGAACTAAGTAAACGAGGGGCCAAAAGTGTGTAAACGTGTTGAAGATCACATGTGTGCCTAGCCACTTCCAACGTGGGAAAATATGACCAGCCTTTGAGAACACTCTGTCCTGGAGGCCAGGATGCTCAATAGCTGGGGAAGTGATAATTGGTGTCATTAATTCTTTCTTTTTACATGACGTCCACTGAATAATCTCTTTTATTTTTTACGTACCTGAAATTAAAAGGGGATTAGATAATTTTTGAAAATCTATTCCTCCAATCCTAATTTCTCTGTTCAAATTAGGGCAGAGCAACATCATTTGTGCTAGTTAGTAAGGACACAAAGCAAATGCTGCTTGAAGAAGTTGATTCCAGGACCAGAGGCATGGCGTGATGATATGGGGTGATGAAATATAAAGCATATTCCCTCATTTTCATTACATAAAAAATAATATCTTAGTATGAGGAGGTAGAAGGTGTAAAGGAACATGATGAGTACCTTTTAGTATCATTTCCAGCTTTTTGCTTCTGTAGACTGTGTTAAAAGTGCATTTGGTTTTAAAAAGCATAATACTTGTTAATGATTTTGATAAATGAAAATACGCATCATTTAAGAATCCATATAACCTAAAATAAATCTTCAATGAAATCATCCGTAACATTTGACATCAGTTTTAAAACAATCTCAAAGCACTTACTGTCACTATTTTGAAGAATCATGAATCATATGAATCATATGAATATATGAATCATTATGTTTAGGTTAAATTTCATAAATATCTGAGTTGCATGATACATAAAAATAAATGAGACAGAATTGAAACACCCACTGTTATTAACATTTCTTATTTATTTTCAAGAACATTTATTTTTGTTTCATATCCCTACCTTCTGTCTGGAAGAAAGTAAATTTTAACATAAGGATTCCTTGGCCTCCCATCTTCCCTGGAAGGGAGATCCTTTGCTCCCAAAATTGTAACTATTAATTGGTGACCAACCTTGTCAAACCATAGTTTTATCTGAAAAGCAAAAATATTCATTTATCAGCTCAAACTTTTACTACCATAACATAATGCTTACATTCCCAATCTTTCCCCATTCTCTTACACTAATATGAGCACAGAATAAGTTTTACTTCATAAATTGCACTTAGTTAAAATAAAAGGATATGCTATAATAACTTCAATGAACAGAGGCAATAATTCAGATTATTTTGGATGGATTGATAAATCACTTGAGCTTTTTGTTATCCTAATGTGATTGCTTATTAACATGCACATGATAATTACCCTAAGAACTTCACATACAATGACTGTGTTTGCCTATCTTTATGTAAGAATCATACTTTAGTTCCCCTAAAATAATGAGTTCAGAATAAATGCTCAAATGAACTGAAGAGATACCTCATTTATATGGCATTCGTAGGGAATTTTTAAGCAAATGTTTTAAAAGACAAAACATTTCATTTGAAAAGACATTTTAAAGATTACAAGCAAGGTAGAATTACCAGTGGCTTTAGTCCATAGACTCCTTGATTTTGTATTTAAAGCCATAATAAATTCATCTTTATAGGTTTTTCTTACACAGACATCGAGTCCCTTTTTCATTAGAGGAGAAGATATATTACATCCTTAGAATAAAAGGGTATTATTTTACCATTCGAGATGAGAAGATGGGAGTAACTTCTCTGACATAATTAGGAATTGGAACTTCACATCCAGCTGCTAAATTCATTTGATTTAACAATTGTCACCTCCCACACACATACCTCACACTCCCACACCTAGCTAGCTAATTCTACCCTGTCAGGATGTATAGCTTGGCTCTAATCCACGTTTTGGTTCGGAACTCATCACTGCTCTGGCCATTATCTTGGAATTGAATCCAAAATCTGAAAGTTGGGAATAAAATTATATACTGTTTAATAGTTTAATTTTTCCTTTAATTTTGAAGTTTAATATTTGCAGCAGTTAAAAAAAAATGTTAATATACATCTCATGTCCGTCATTCCCTCTTCTCCTGAAATGGACAGTCAGGTCTGGACCAGGCTCTGAGATATACAAATAAATATACAACATATATACACATGCATAAAAATCACCTAAATATATATATATGTATATATGATATATTGGTATTTGGTTCTAATTCTAACATGGCTCTGTTGAGTCTCTCACTTCATATCTCAGAGAACGAGAGGCTGAATGAGACTTTTGAGTCCAAAGAAGAGGACTAATGGCCCAGAAGAGTATATAAAATTATTTATCACGCTCTTCTGTCAAATGGAATTAGCCTTCTTAATAACAGCAAGAAATATTTAATTTAAAAAAAAATAATTAATACCCTTTATGTTATATTAAGCCTTCATATTTAAAATGCAGGTTTTACCATGCTGTCGTGTAACAAAGTTTTCTTAATAGAGCTGCAAAGTACAGTCTCTAGAAAAGTGTTTCTTAAAGGGTGGTCCACTAACCTTACATCTGTGTTATCTGGCTTATTTGTTGAAAAGTTACAAATTCCTGTGGCCCACCCCTCACCTACTGAATCAGAACGGGGCCCAGGTTTTTGTTTGTTTGTTTTTTTGACAAATTTCAACAAGTCCTCCTGGGGATTCTCATGGGCATTAAAGTTTGAGAACCAAACTTTATTAACACCCTAGGGGATTAACACCCTGAAAGAAAAAAAAAAAAAAAACCTCTTCAACATGCGAATAGAAAAAAGTACAAATATTTGCTTGTGTAACAACATTAGAACATAGATACGGGTGAGAGTAAGTGGAAAAAAAAAAGAAACCATTGTTCTGGTAAAAGACATGAGGGGAAACAAACAAGAAAAAAAGTAAGAAATACAAGAGTGTCTTTATATGAGATGAAAGAGAGATGTTGTCAGAGTGCATCATGGTTCTTCTAAAATGTGTGACCAAAAACCCCATTAATTTCTGATATTCTCTATTTTCTATAGCAATCAAAAGGCTTATGGCTTTATATTTCCAGGACAATTAAAAACACTTCTCTGAGGATCATGATATGATTATTAGGCACTTCAAAGAAAAAAAGATTCTGAAAGGCTAAAAAAAAAAAAAAAAAGAAAACCTTTTTTCTGGTAAACTGTACATTTAGAAACAAAGAAACAATAATAATAATTATTAGACTAAGCTCATAATTATTGGAGCAAGTTACTGATTTCTGTAAATTGTTTCTGACGGATGAGACTAAGCATTTGCCATCTTCACAGGTGATATTTTTGCTCCTCTAAACTCATTAGAGACGAACATTTGAGATACATAACTTCAAATGCTTGATAAGCAGTATTCTTTTTAGATTTTCCTATGCCACAGAAAACTAAAATTATCATTTGTAATATTCATTTTTCATACAAGCAGATACTAGGCATATGGCCTCCATATATACATTTTATAAAATTTATAAAATTATACTTTCCAGATATATAAATGTTAATATAGTACATTTTAATTTTATGGGTTTTTTAGTCAAAATTACAACTTTTAATAAACTGTTTTAAACTAGGCGTTTGATCGATAGCCCTAATTTTCATTTTATATTACAGGACTTGCATTGAAGTTTTTAATAGATATCCAGTTCACATTAGCAAAACAATTATTTTATTAGCTAGATTATTTTATCACATTCCTAAATTTCTTATCTGTGCTTTTCAAATGATAGGCGAAAATATATCTGTTGATTCCCCCAAAATATAGTAAGTGGATTTCCACAGTTCTAGATGACATACTTCTGATTTTACCTCTATTTCATTAATAAAAATCTTGGAGCATCTTTTTAATTGTTTGCATATAATAATCATTCCAGCTTTACCATGTACCCATTTTTAAATGTCCTAAGGAGAACCTGAACAGCACAAGTAAATATTTAACACTATATAGTATTAAGTAGAACAACTGTAATTTTTCAAATTTAAACTAAATTAGTATTATTCAAAACCAACAACAACAAAAAAAACATGCAGCAAAGCAAGGAAAGCATAATACTACTTAAAAAAAACAACTATATTGTCATTATTTTACCATGTAAGGGTTTCCTAATGAAAAGAGGCAAACAACTTGTACCAAGTGTTACAGTAAAATTAAATCCCATTTCAATTACAAAATGTGAACAACATAAACCCAACACATTTTATTTAGATAATCATTTTGTTCTTTCAAAATAACACACTTTTCAAACTTGAACCTTATATATTAAATGGATAAAATTCATATTTTAGATAAGGTACAAATTTATTTGCCAATCTCCTCAAGGATTTGTTGCTTGGAAAATGCAAGAGAAAGATGTTAAGTGATAAAATGAATGATTTAAAGAGACAGAAAACTTAGTGCAATAAAAAAAAATATCGGCAGTATAAAATTAGCTAGTTTTGTCAATATTCTATACACAAGTGCAGTCTGAAACCTATCAAGTTTTAGCATTCAGTGGATCATATAAAATCACTAACAGAGATTGTCTCTTTAAATTTTAATTGTATTTTCATCTCCATGCAGAAATTTTACAAGCTGGCTTATAAAATGATTTGAAAGTCAATAATATGGTTTGGAGCAACATACCAAAACAAGTTTCCTACTACGCATTTTCCAAAAACATACAAATAAGGGTTAAAACACAACTTTCGTTTCTATCAGGCAGACAGGGCCTTTACCTGAACCCTAGGAACAAAAGGCGTTGTTCTTCTACTAAGGCTTTGGCTCTGGTAAGCAAAATTAAAGAAAAAAGCAATAAAACAAAACCAAAAAGGACAACACGCTGGGACTAAAAGACCAAAAGTAAAAACAAACACATAAAACTATCCCTTAAATATTATTTTTCCATAACAATACATATCTGAATTAAGGACTTCAATGTAACAAGTTAATTTTGCCAAAATGCTAAGATACATAAAAACTATATAAAATGAGATGTTTAAATGTAATCAACACAATAGGAATTAAGAGCAAATGTAAAATAACATTTTTGGGCTTGTATATTCTGAAAGAATGAGTGTAAACATAATCCAGGAGTCAAGAAATTTCAGGTTTTACCCTTAAACGCTCTACATAGAAAAAAATCAGTCCAAGAAGTTACATAAAAATGCACCATAGAATTATTATTAGTGAAAAGTCATCTGTAGAAGTAATCGTGTGACTTCTCTAAAACACATCTAACAAAAATTTTAAAAACATTAGCCAAGTTGGCTCCAGCATTTCTTAAAAGAATAAACACAGTAAGATAAAAGCGTGTGGAACACACTGTACTAACTAGTTGATTCACACCTTAAGAATTTATACCAGGTTCTAGTATTTAAACACCATTTTTAAACATTTATTACATACTATACAAGGTAATACTGTTAATTGCTAATCACACTTATTAATGATAATACCTCAATTCTTTTTATTTATACAATTCTTTATATTTTTCCAAGCCTCTACTGGCAGGTTATTGCAAGTTCATTGTCTCCAACAAAACTAGAAGGTAGGTGCTATTATCTCCAATTTGAAATAAGGAGACATAGAGAAAGGCTGGATATACTTGCCCATACTCAAACAAAAAGTAAGATAGTGTAAAGGTAAAAAAAAATAAAGCCTGGTTCTAAAAAAGAAAACAAGGAAGGGAAGGGAAGGGAAGGGAAGGGAAGGGAAGGGAAGGGAAGGGAAGGGAAGGAGAGGAGGGAAAAAAGCCCAGTTCTGATTAAATCATTGTTCCAAATTCTTATAATAAAATCAAATTTTCTTTCTCTTTTGGCTTATCCTGTTTTCATTTGGAAACAGTTACCAAAAGACATCACAATAATCAGAATTTTGTGCCTTTAGTAAGGCATGCTATTAACTAAATAGGAACAAAATCAGAAGCATATATCAGGGTTTGGGAAGGGATTTCAAGGCATTCAATTCTTCTTCCTTCCCTAAGATTCCATTTCATTCCTCACATTTCCCATTCTCCTGTCTAATTCAAAGAGTTATCAATAAAGGCTCCAGACCTTTCCATTGCTATAAGGGAACAGATAATAAGTACTAGGAGGACTGTTGCCTAATTTGATTGTCACCAGATAGACACTATTTAAGACATAAATCTAAAACCCAAAGGAAAGCAGATCTTAAAAGCAGACATCAATCATGAGTCATCTTTCTCTCTCTCCAAAAACCAAGGCAGTCTCAAATCTAAGCAGTCTTCCTTTTGTGTGGAGACATTTCCAAAGGAAGAAAGAAATCTTTAGATATGGAGTATGTTACTGATATCTGTCTGCATGATCCTAGGTGAATACTTCTCTAACAAATGGGCCAAGGATGGATGAAACGCATAGAGATTAACAAGGCCAGCTGAACAAAGGAACTAACAATATACTCTATTTGGAAGCAGATTTTATTTTCCTTCTCCTCTCACCTGTTCTACCTGTTTTAGACCCAAAGCAACAGGTAATGGAAGATTTGCGCAGGTAAGTTTTACTTCATAAACTAAAAAAGCTTAATTTGAAATGAACAGCACTTCAAAATAAATTCATCCTTTACGGCAAACAATTTCCATCTTCTAAGATGATCTCAAGTAAGCAATTCACAGGTTTCTGAAATCAGTTGTCTACAATCTAGGGCAATTTAAACAATCTTTACCTATAAGTTTACACATTAAACTTGGCTGGAAAAAACATATTTCTGTTTTGCTAGTGTTTTTAATTGAGATGAAATTCACATATAATAAAAGTAACCATCCTAAGGTATACAATTTAATGGCATTTAGTACATTCACAATACTATGTAACTACCACTTTCTTATAGTTTGAAAATTTGTCATCACCCCAGAATACTCTATGTACCTGTTTGTACCTATGAAGTAATGTAATCAACTCCCATTCCCCTAATGCCCCAACTCCTGGCAACCACTAAGTTGCCTTCTGTCTCAATAGATTCTGGATATTTCATACATGAATGGTGAACTATTACGTATTGCATTGCAATTTGCGATTCATATTGATTCATTTATTTTACAGGAAATATCTGATGAAACCTGTGACAACTCAGCCTCATACAAATGAAGAATTTAATTTGTACACTATTTTGCATTTTTTTCATGTTTTTATTTCCGAGAGAGACAGACAGACAGACAGCGTGAGTGGGGGAGGGGCAGAGAGAGAGGGAGACACAGAATCCAAAGAAGGCTCCAGGCTCTGAGCTGTCAGCACAGATGCGGGGCTCAAACTCATGAACCGCAAGATCATGACCTGAGTCAAAGTGGGACACTTAACCGACTGAGCCACCTAGGTGCCCCTTTGCATTTTTAATGTCACTTTGCATCATACACTGCACTATCTTTAGGGCATTCCTTTTATGCAATGCTTCTGGAATAACAAGGTTGTGATGATGAGGTATAAAACATAAAAGCTCAAGGGAATAAACCTTCATTTACAGGAAGTTTTTAAAAGGCTGTAGAGTTTCTAAGGATATTGAAAGATACATACCTATTCTTCAGTTACTTACTCCATTTAAATGGGCATACAAAATGGATATGGACAATATTTACAAACCCATCACTAAAAATGGAGTCAGAAAAATATTAAAACAAAGTAACTTAGGGAAACATTGTAGACATAAAGCAACCACAGAGCCAGAAGTAAAATAAAATTATTATCAGTAAGAATCAATGTGTTCTTATAGAAAGAAAGAATTTTAAGCTTCTCACTTTTAAAAAGAGTCAAAGGCTATATTTTATCTTAACACTGTTTCAAAAAGTAGCCAACTAATTTAAATTATTGATTTTTAATTTAATTTTAAATGGTTGATTTAATCATTTAAATTATTAATTTTAAAGAATTGAAAGAACTACAAAAGTAATCCCCTAAAGAAGCAAACTATTAAACTGTGGAAGAACATAAGTTTTAAAAAGAATCAAAATAAGAGAGTTTTGACACAGCCAAGGCTAACATACAGTCCAGGTGTCATAAACCTGAACTCAAAATGATTTTCTCACCAAATGCATTTATGGCACTTTCATACTTATGCCCTAGAATAATAACCAGCAACAGCAGAATTCAAGCATAGAGAGGAAATAAACTGCATAAAGTTTTAAAAATATCAACAGTCTTGAAATGAAAGTTTAAACAACAATTTAAATTATATGTATATTTCTACTTGAGAAAATATCAGTCCACGAACTGACCTGATACATTAGGAGGTCAGCTTATATACCATACAAATTTTCTTTGTTCTCCAGAATTAGCAATGCCATAAAATTGTGAGCTATGGGCATAGGTAAAAACTCACCAGAATAAAAATGCCCAAAGGTAAAATAAATAGAAGGATATAGGGATTGTAATGTTGCCTTGCGACTTCCTAGGAATTTTCCCAAAAGGTGATATATAACACCTAAACTCTACATCATTAGAGAAAACCAAAATGGTCTCCAGTTGGCAGGAATAGGGTTAAATATAAAGGGAAACACTATATCCAGAAGGATATCTTGCTTATGTTTCCTGCATGCAAAGAATGAAAATAAAATTAAGTTTCATGAAGATGAAATCTGTGTCTATCGGATTGTTCACGGTTATATTCCCAGCAACTGGGATTAAGGTTGACCCAGGGCCAGAGTTTAACATATATTTCTTGAGTCAATGATTGAAGATTAATTTCATACAAACATTTTTGAGGAAAATTTGGCAACAGATTTCAAGAATCTCAAATTTTTTTCTCTTTCCTTCTCTTCCTGTAATTTTACTTCTGAAAAGTTATCCTGACAAAACAATGTTTTGTTCGACCTAACAGAATACGTAAGAGTTATACTGAAGGATTTCCATGGCATCATTGTTTATAGTAATATAAATTAAGAACAAGCAAGATGTCCCATTATAGAGAATTAAGTTAAAATGGTATATTAGCTATTAAAATAATTTTAAGAGAAATTTTGAAAGAAAAAAGTTTTAAAGAAAAATGTGCACAATATATTACTCAGTAAAAAAGCAGATTTCAAAATATTATACACAGATTTATTACTTTTGTTTAAACATTTATATGTATGTGAATGTTACACTTTAGTGGCAGGTTATACGTGATTTTATTTTTTATGTATTTATCTGCACTCTAGATTTTCCATAATAAATATGTATAGTATTTATTAACACCATCTTACTGGAACATATCCCTTCCAAGTCATAAGAAAATGATAAAATGTACACATTTTAAACTATAATTACATGGATTTTAAACTAACATCATTTATAAATGTAAACATTATGACTTGAAATCATTAATTATATATTTAGAAGTATAACTTTTAAGTTTATGTTTCCCTAAAATATTTAAGTCTTACCTTTCTACTATATTCATTTTGAACCATGATGAAAAATAGCTGAATTTGAAATTTGTCTAAATGCCTGCACTACACTCCTTAATCTTCCCCCCACTTCCATACGCCCTGGGATTTCAAAGTCAGTAACAAAGCAATACTTACTTACTATGAAGTCTAACTTCCGCTCTCTCTTCCACCAACTGAAGCAAACTACACACACACACACACACACACACACATTTATTTATGTACTGGCATCATCCAGTCATACTATGCATTATTTAAAGATGGACTATTTCACTGAATCCATAATAATTAAAAAGAAATGCTTAATGTCTATTAGCACTTTCTAAAATGGTGACAGTACACATATATTTGTAACTACAAATGACAACATCTGTGCTGTCAATATATGTAAAAGAATAAGTTAAAAGATGCTACTTATGATGGAAACTGAAAAAAAAAAAAAAAGACCACTGTCTTCAAATGAAAAGGTTCACTCTGTTTATGAGAGAAAGTAAACAAAAACAATAAAGAGAAGAAATTCATTTTTGTAAGACATTTACAAGTTCCTGGTAAGTATCTCAACTTCTTTCTTGTGCAACTTTTCTGTCATTGCCACCTTTGTGATCAAAATAGTCCCAGAACAGACATGTCTAAGAACTATTTCAATAATTTAAATCTGTTAATTCTGCTTATACTTCCTATATCTTTTAATTAATAAAAATTCTTCACCAAAAAAATCAAACACCTCCCTTCCCCTCCCCCAAAAAAAGAAATTTCAAAGCTGATTAAACAAGAAGCTTTTTCTATTGCTCTTAAAACACCAGCCCAAAAATAGTTTATTTTTTAATTGTAACATTTTTTATCCAAAATTCAGTATCTGAATTTTGATAACCTAAATAGTTCTTAATAGTGATAAAATTGCAAGTTTATGCAAGTTTACTAATTCATCAACATTATGTTTCTAAACTATAACAACATGAATTTCAATATTTTAATATTTTAAATAGTTTAAAAAGAGAATGACAACTGAAGAAATTCATAATAATTGAAGGCTCAAGTTTGCAAGTCTCTTCTAATATGGACAGATAATGCCTTATTGAATTTTTCATTTTTATTATAAAATGTTCAAATTAGGGATCACTTACTATGTAATCACACAGTATACTCAGTTATCTATTAAATATTTTACCATCTATTTAGTTTTGTCTGTTGACCAAAGCATCTCAAGTACCATTATATTGAGAGCAATATTCATACCCCAGTGCTTTACTATGACATTCAAATTTCCTTGAACTCAAAAAGTAGGGAATGTATAAAATTTACTTTCATCTTAAATATACCATCTTTGTACAACACATCAATTTTATTTCTCTTAAAAGTCTAGGACAAGTTATAGTCATTTTAAGACACTGAGCAAAAATCATAACCTTGAATTTTAGAATAAAATTACTAAGGTAAAAAAGGTTTTAGATAGCATCACAAATTTTCTCGTTAAATTCCAGAAAACCTAGGGGGTATAGCTCAGTGGTAGAGCATTTGACTGCAAATTCCAGAAAACCTAATAAACTCTAATAAAGAAATACTATGCTAAGTAATTTAAATTTCAATTAACTGAAATTACTAAGAATGAGAAAGTTGATGGTTAAAAGCAAAATTATAGTTTAAGAAGGAGTTGGTTTACAAAATGCTATCGTCATAAAGTGTTAACAATACTTGGTATTCCAAAAAGAGAAATTAATGTAGTGATTACATACTGAAAGTTGTCCAGATAAGTACTGTGGAACATCCCTCAACATGCCGGGACTCATGGGAGAGGTAACGGAAATAGAAGGGCGATCCATTTTTTGAGATTCGAATGAGCTGGAACCTGAAGTGGCAATTATGCATAAGAAATAATAATGATGACTCTTCATTAGCATTTAATAATCTTTACCACATATCTTTTAAATTATTTATGTATTTATTTATTTAACACGTCCACAAAACATCATTATATAGACCATTTTCTTAGCCACAGTATTCCAAATAAACTTACAGCTATGTTTTGAAAGTGTAAGTACAGCTGAGCAACTCTCTTAAGACCAAGAGTGAAACATTTTCTCTGCCAATTATAGTAAAGACCGACTTCTATGCCAGGACTTAGTTACTTTGCTATGTGTATACTAAACTCATATCCTATCATAACATATTAAGAAATTTCTAAAAATAGAAACTCTGGAAAAATCAAAACCTAAATCAAAAAAGCAACTTGAAGGCGATGCAAACTTGTAATGCTAAAAACATAAGTACTAGAATATTAATCATGTAGTGTTTCCAGGAAGTGACACTTTAAAACCATATCTGGAAAAGAATATAGTAAATTAGATGGGCAGAAAGGAAGAGAGGGTCTATGAAACAAGAGACATTACAGCAGAGAAAGCACAGTCTTGGTCCTCAGAAGTTATATATATGAATTTATTTCTATGGAGGGGAAGGAACGATTCAGAAAGTGAATAAAAATGGAGCTAAGGGGATAGTGGGGGGATTAAGTGCCTGGAGTTCTGGGCTACACATTTTGGCACTAATCGACTATTAATCATTATTGCCTCATTCTCTTCTGAGTGAGGCATTAACTGCATTTGAAGAAGATGACTTTACCACTTATTTGAAGTGTGAATTGATTTGAGAGAGAGGGAAAACATCTCAAAACAAGTGGAATTCAGTAAAATAATAATAGGAAAGGTTGTGAAGATGGAATGGGCAGAAAGAATTCAGCAATATCACAAAATAAACAAAAGAGGACTCGGAAACGAATTAGACATGAGAG